GAATATGAGTTGCTGTTCCTGCAACCTTCGGGTGGCATCGTTGTGGCACTGCAGGAGGCCCAGGATGGACATGTCGTCTGAGGAATGGGAGGGGGAGTTGAAATGGTTCGCGACTGGGAGGTGCAGTTAACATTAGAAAGACGGAGTTTGAGGGGGGACCTGATTGAAGTCTACAAAATCATGAGAGGTATAGACAGGGTGGATAGCAAGAAGCTTTTTCCCCAGAGTGGGGGACTCGATTACTAGGGGTCACGATTTCAAAGTGAGAGGGGAAAAGTTTAAGGGAGATATGCGTGGAAAATTCTTTACACAGAGGGTGGTGGGTGCCTGGAACGCGTTGCCAGCGGAGGTGGTAGAGGCGGGCACGATAGCGTCATTTAAGATGTATCTAGACAGATACATGAATGGGCAGGGAGCAGAGGGATACAGATCCTTGGAAAATAGGTGGCAGGTTTAGATAGAAGATCTGGATCAGCGCAGGCTTGGAGGGCGGAAGGATCTGTTCCTGTGCTGTAATTTTCTTTGTTCTTTTTGTTCTTTGTGTTCTTTGAAAAGCTTTGTTTATGAGTGGTACTGGCAAATCACAGCAAGCGAAGGATGTACAAATCAAAAAGACTTTGAGGCATATAGGTTACATCATTTGAGGCTAGAGTCCATTCAACAGTCTGATAACAGCTGGAAAGAAGCTGTTCCTGAACCTGCTTGTGCATGTGTTCGGGGCTTCTGCGTTTTCGTGCCTTTTACTTGGGGTCCTACATATCGTTTGTATTTAAGTAACCATTCAATTCCCTCCTGAATGCCTCCATTAAACCTGCTTCCACTGCATTCCAAGCCCCAACTACTCAGGTTTTCCTTTCACAAAAGTAGCAAAAGTGACGTGAGAATCACTTCAATTGTGTCAGAGATAGTAGTCTAGCCCCGAAACGTCAGCTTTCCTGCTCCTCTGATGCTGCTTGGCTTGCTGTGTTCATCCAGCTCTACACCTTGTTACTTCAATTGTGTGTTGTCTTATTCTCCACCCTTTTCGAAGTTTGACCCTGTCCAGACCCGTCATGAATTTGAAAACTTCAAACAGATCTCCTCTTAATCTTCTCTCAAGGGGAAACACCTCTAACTTCTCCATCTTATCCTCATAACTGAGAATTCTCACCCCTGGATCCAGTCTCATAAACCTGTTATGAACCCCTCCAATGTACTCTCACCTTCCTAAAGTGTACACAGTACTGCAGCTGAGATTTTAAACATGTTTGGAATGGTTTCCCTGCTTTGGTATTCTATCCCACTCTTAAATCCTAGTGTGGAAAAGATTCAGAAGTGGCTGTAGAGATGAAGAATGTTAGTTATGGTGGTAGATGGGAGAACCTGGGGCTGCTCTCTTTCCAGGAGGGAAAGCCGAGTACAGGTCTGATTGAAGTACTCATAATCATGAGGCAAGTGGACAGAGTAAATGACGTGAAAATTTTCCCACTTATGAAAGTGTTGGGATTTCATTTGATTTATTATTGCCACATGTAGCAACATAGTGAAAAGTATTGTTTTGCACGCTAACCAGACAAATCCCACCTGACATAAGTACATCAGGGTAATAGAATAGAATGTAGAATATAGTGTTACAGCCACAGAGAAGGTGCAGAGAAGGATCAAATCTAATATTTGAGAGATCCATTCAAGAGCCTGATAACAGCAGGGAAGAAGCTGTTCTTGAATCTGTTGGTACGTGTTTTGAAACTTTTGTATCTTCTCCCCGGTGGAAGAGAGTATAACCAGGGTGGGAGGGGTCTTTGATTATGTTGGCCACTTTTCTAAGGAGTGGGAAGTGTAGCCAGCCAATCAAAGGAAGGCTGGTTTTCATGATGGACTGGGCTGCATTCATAATTCTCTAATTTTGAATAAGAATGTACAATCACAAAGTAATTAGTAAAAGAAACAAAAGTGATATGATGGACTGTTTTTAAAATCATTCACAAGATTTCAGAGATCCACAGATTTTCACATAGCCAGTGGTTGGGGTCTAGAATGCTCTCAATGTGGTGGAGGATAGTTATCAGTTTTAAAGAGGGAATTAGGTGGCCGTTTGGAAAGGCAGTGTGTGCAGAGAGTGGGGACAAAGCAGGGGAGTGTTGCTGAGTGTGATGCTCATTTGGAGAGTTGGCATAGATAGGCAGAATGGCTGTCTGCTACACTCTGTAATTGTTCTAATGATGAAGTGCACTTTTTTTTCTGGGTATCAGGTTCATACATACCACCAGCAAAATCTTTGCAAATTTTCTATTTGTAGAATGTGAAGCTTCTCTGTCAAGATAATTAAAATTTTGGAATTCTTTATGCTCTTAAGTTTTAATATTTTGACTTCTATCTGAATGCAGTCTGCTTGTCTCAATTTTATATTGTGTGCGCGCTCTCTCTCAATATAATGAAAGTGGCAGCTTATTATAGATGTGTATTTAACTCCTGTGCTTGCTGTACAACAACTCTTGTACAACATGGTTGGTTGCTCATCTTGTTTGATGACATCACTGCTGCTGGATGACTAGAGATTCCTTGATTTGGTATCGAATCCCAACCAATTAGGAAAGGTCACAAGATCACATCAATGGGTGGATTCATTCTCCTCGAGTCTGCATGGGTTTCCTCCGGGTGCCCCGATTTCCTCCAACAGTCCAAGAATGTGTAGATTGAGTGGATTGGCCATTCTTGGATAGTGAACAATATTGGTTCAATGTTGACCATGAAATCCGGGTCAAAATTTGACACAGATGTATTATTCCTGCGCATTGCTGCATTTTTATGTTGCGATCCTATATTGAGAATGGCCTCGGGCTTGATTCTGTTTTGTTGACTACAAGCAAATAAGTTGTTGCTGCTCTGAATGTCTTAATATGTGAACTGTCCATTCTGCAGTCATCCAGTTCGGATTTGTGACCCTCTTTGTGGCCTCCTTCCCACTCGCTCCACTGTTTGCACTACTCAACAACGTCATTGAAATCCGCCTGGATGCTAAAAAGTTCACCACTGAGCTCCGAAGACCCGATGCAACAAAAGCAAAGGATATTGGTCAGTCAATCTCATGATTATTGTGTTAATGTAATGTTCTTAGTGAGCAAAAAGGACAGTTTGGTATCTGACTTGGCACATCTTAGTGCGACATAATGGCCCAGTGGTTAGCACTGCTGCCTCAGCGCCAGGGACCCAGGTTTGATTCCTCACTCAAACGACTGACTGTGTGGAGTTTGCATGTTCTCCCCGTGTCTGCATGGGTTTCCTGTGGGTGCTCCGGTTTCCTCCCACATCCGAGGATGTGCAGATTAAGTGGATTGGCCAAGCTAAATTGCCCCTAGTGTCCAGGGATGTGTAGGCTAGGTGGGTTAGCCATGAGAAATGTAGGGTTACAGGGATAGGGTAGGAGGGAGGGTTTAAGTGGGATGCTTTGGAGGGTCAGTGTGGACTCGAGCTGAATAGCCTGCTTCCATACTGTAGGGATTCTATAATCTGTGCTGTTCTCAGAGCCACTTTTCTAAGATATATGGTGCTATGGTTTTGATCTGGGACGTTCCTCAGGATAGTGTCCTAGGCCCAAACATCTCCAGCTATTTCATCAATGACCTTTCCTCCATCATAATGACAGAAGTGGGGATGTTTATCAATGAGTATGATATTCAGCACCACTTGTGATGACTCGGATACTGAAACAGTTCATGTTCAAATGCAGTGAGGTCCAGACTTGGACTTGCAAGTGGTGAGTAACGTTCATGTCACAGAAATGCCAGGCAATGACCATCTCCAATTACCTCTGTCCCTTAACATTCACTGGTACTACAATCGCTGAATCCCCCACTATCAACGTCCTGGGGGTTACCATTGACCAGAAACTCAATTGGACTTGCCATATAATTAGTCCGAGGCTAGCAATACTGCAGTGAGTAATTCACCACCTGACTCCCTAAAGCCAATCCACCGTCTACAAGGCACAAGTCAGGGGTATAATGGAATACTTCCCAACTGTCTGGATGAGTGCAGCTCCTACAAGACTTAAGTAGAACACAAATCTTGAAATTCCCTCCCTAACGGTGTTGTGGGACAACCTAGAGCATGTGGACTGCAGCGGCTTAAAAAGGCAGCTCACCACCACCTCAAGGGGCAGCTAGGGATGGGTAATAATTCCTGGATCAGCCAGTGACACCCATGTCCCACAAGTGAATGAAAAACTGCGAATGGGCAATGGAAACAGTTTTAATAGTAACTTTCAAGATGCAATTGGATAAATCCTTTGAAAGCTGCAAGCATAACAAAACGGCAACAGAATTAGTTGCAGAGCTGGATGAACACAGCAGGCCAAGCAGCATCATAGGAGCAGGAAGGCTGACGTTTCGGGCCTAGACCCTTCCTGCTCCTATGATGCTGCTTTGCCTGCTGTGTTCATCCAGCTCTGCACCTTGTTGTCTCGGATTCTCCAGCATCTGCAGTTCCTACTATCTCTAACAGAATTAGTTGTTCAGCTCTTCCAAAGAACCAGCACACACTATGGGCTAAATGGTTTTTTCTGATTTTGTACCATTCACAATGAGCTACTGAAATGCAAGATCCATAAATTGTAAAATTGAAATAATATTCACAAACCAACAATTTTGTATACATCCTTCAACCAAACTTTCCTGAACAAGGGTAATACCCACAACGTTGACTTCCCCTTTCCTCCAGATGCGCTGCCTGGCTTGCTGTGTTTTTCCAGCATCCTATTTGTCTACCTATTTGTTTAACATCTTTTTATTTAAAACAAGACATGCAAAGAATTCCTACTCTAAGTTTGTATCCTTGCTATGTTTTTGTTTAGGTTTGCTTTGTTTTCATTTCGGTCATTTTTGATCTCTACTCCCAGGCTGTTTGCTTTTGCAAGCTAGAATTTCAGTGTTTTGCCATGAGACAGATAGATAAATACATCCAATTGCAATAATCACTTCATATCAGTAAAGAGCTTCTCGGAATCGGTTACAGCACAAAGAGGCCATTCAGCCCACTGTGTCTGCAGCAGCTCTTCAAGTGAGCATCATTACCTGTTACTGTTTATCCTGCTTCCTGACCCCCACACTCTTATATCTTTCTTTTATTCCAATAGCCATCCACTGCCCTCTTGAATGCCTCAATTGAACTTGCCCCCCACCAGGCAGTGTATTCTAGGCCCTGACTAATTACTGTGTGAAGATGATTCTCCTTGCATCATCTTTGCTTCATTTGCACAGCTACTTTAAATCTATGCCTTTTGTTCTTGTTCCTTTTCATGAACAGGAACAGCTTCTTTCCATCTACTCTGCCCAGCCCCCACTCATTATTTTGGGAAAACTCTTTCCAATCTCCTTTCCACCACAATCTCCCCCAGGAGAACAGTCCCAATTTCTTCAGGCTATCCTCAGCTGAAGTTTCTTATTCCTGGAACTGTTCTTGTAAATTATTTCTGCATTCTTCTAATGCATTCATATTTTGCCTATAATGCAGTACTCAACTGTTCACAATACTCCAGCTGGGGTCTAACATGTACCTTGTACAAGTTCAACATCACCTCCCTGCCCTTGTACTGAGGACAGTGTATGCTTTATTACTGTCTGATTCTCTTCCAGCACCTTTTGTACTGTGGGACTCAGCAACTCCTCCACTTTCCTTTCAACTAGTATCTGCATCTGGATTTTTTGAGTTCTGACTTTGTTTTGATCTGTGCAGAGATTAAAAACAAAGGCTAGTAACTTGTCTCTGTGTGGTTGATATATTTATACAACATTTGGGAGCCCTGTCACAAAGAACAGTTTTCAGTCTTATCGCTTTTTTTCCTCTCAAAAGCGGAAGGGGAATTTGCTTTGAGACAAATTAAAATGCCTAGGAGCAGGTCTTCTCATAGCTTGTGTATATATTGTCTGGAAGGATCAAAGAATGGGGAAAAGGTCCCTCGGAAGAGCATTTTAATTGCTTTCAAAAAAAGCAAGTGTTTATTTCCAGCATTTCTGTTTTATTTCCTGATTTGTATTTTTGTTACAATTTTTACTTCAGAGATTTAATGTTATGCATGTTTGTGATGAAATCCCTGATCAGCCAATGGAGATCAGAGCCATGAATTACAAAACTTAATCAAATCCAGGATGAGAGCAGCTGATCTTTGACTCAAATATTTGGGGCTGTATTTTGAAGAAGTGGATCTGTGGCCATCAATAATCTGACTGAGTATGTGAAATATCTTGGCGTATCAGATGAAAGGGAAGAGTTTGACTCATGGTTCAAAGTGCAAGTGTGCGTGAAGAGACAAATCTACCAAGGCATCCTGTAGTTAAGACAAACCCAGTTAAAATGGACCAGATCTTCGTGCTAGGCCTATTCAGGATTGTCAAAAGGACAGTCAACCTGATGTTCTGGTTTGTTAAAGATAGTGTGTTCTGGAATGGATTTTAATTCAATACTGAATAAATAATGTTCAAGGAGGTGGGAGAGTGGAAAATAGTCATTTAAGAAGAATATTCCTATAAAAGTAGGTACTTAAATGAGAGAGTGTGGCAGCACATGGTTTTATTTTATTTTCTCAGGATTGTGTAGTGTGCAAACGCTATCATCTGAAACTGGGATGCACAGTAAACAATTAGTTAATACATCTTAAAATAGAAAGTAGCTTCTTAAATTTCAGTAGCATCTGCAAACCATGGAAACCAGTCACTAAGCTAATTCCCAGATTCTGTTTTGTGGGAGATATCAGCCATCGCATTTTCTGGCTTCATATATGCACACACCATATGTTGGGAAGTTCCAGAAATAGCCAATATTGCAAGGTTGGTCAACGAAATGTTAACCCTTATCTAACACTACAGCATTAATTCCAGTGTCCGTCCTTAAACTAGCAAGTGACATTGCAGTTTGTTTGTGAATGTCATTTGTGAAACAAAAAATCCTTTCTCACAAAAAGAAATGACATTTATTACATGAAAAGATTTAAACAAATATGCAGGAGTATGTTACCAGTGCTGACGATGCCATCATTGACATAAAAGTTTATCATGGACTTGTAAGCTGGGCCAAGGCATGTAGGGGACAAGATCAGACCATCCTGTCCCTTGTGCCTGTTTTGTCATTCAGGTAGATCAAAGCTGATCTGCATCTAACCTCCATCTTCACATCTTATTTCCATAACATTTCCTTAAGAAAAATCTATCATTGTGAAGTTAAGTTTTTTTGAGAATTTCAACTGAACAAGCCATAACTTTTGGGGGAAATGGGTGACAGATTTACACTATCCTTTGTCTGAAGTGATACTTTCCAATATCAGCCCTGAATTCCCTCCCATTTGTGACAGTCCATCATTTCTGGGACTTGGGAGGCCAATTAACCTTCAATAGGATTCAGACTGAAACAGCACAATACGAGGCTCTTGCTGTTTGACCAGCCTCCCGTGTTTAGGGACACACTGTGGCAGCTGCTAGTCCTTCCACATACTTCCAATTTTAGCTGTGTTTGCATCAAATGCAAGCAGAAAGACATCACACCATCCATTTGGTTCGATCTGTTGTATTTGTCCCCCCACCTCCCAAGCAGCATATGCTAGAAATATTTAAGTGAAGTCAATCATCAATGCTGAAGTAGGAGTTAGTGGGAATGCTACTAGCTGTGAGCAACCTGAAATCTCAGGATCTTTTATCCAATGTTACCAGTGTCTAACATTGTGGAACATTATCATTGTCTCTTATCTAAAAACAAAATCCTAAGAATAATCTTCAGTTTTTCATGAAAACTATTCAGATGAAGATCATTATTGTAAAGCTCTACTGTGTCTCCTAGTCTGTCTGAATTAGAATCCATCAAAATATATAGACAATGTAGCAGTAGTGCTGTCTCAATTGCCAGTCTTTTTGTAATGGTTTTTGTAGTGGTGGTTATGGTTTTATACGTTTCTAAGCTTGACTTAATGAATTTCTAAATGAGTGGGAATTCAATTTGGATTGGAATTGTTCTTTTCACCAAAATTGGTTTGATGTCAGCTATTGTCAGAAAAGGGAAGAATGTGAAACTAACTGGACAATATCCAAAATGATGTAACTGCTGTCCTGTTGTATTTAGGTATCTGGTACAACATCCTGAGAGGAATTGGCAAGTTGGCTGTTATCATAAATGTAAGTAAATAGTATTTATTTAAATGTCCTTAATTAAAAGAATTTGGAGGTAACTAATCCAGAGTCTGTATGTATTATCTAATTGTCTCAACACAGTGTTTGCCAGTTAATTAAGTTACATTTAATGGGGGAGAGGGGGGCCAGAGGCATTTTGAGGGGATGCTCCGCAGACTAAGCAACAAAGTTAGGGGCAAGACAATCTCAAATTGAGAAATGATCCAATGAGAACTAACTGTACAAGTCAAATCTAATTGATTTATCTGTAAAATTGAGAGAATGGGAAGTCAATGTGCCTTATTTTTCTTTCTAACCTTTCTCATGCAACCTGAATTAGGTTCCCCACCCCCTCCTACCCCAAGGAATCTGTAGATGTACAGAGACTGATGCATACTGAGCTTTCCAAGTTAGCCTGCAGCATTAATGCTAAGCTTTCAGTGAGCTCTGTTTCAGTATCAGTGCAACAGAACAGGACTATAGTGACTGTGGCAATATAATCACCTGCAGCAGTTAATGTTTGCATGTACAAATCACAGCCTATAAATGATGAGGATTACATGATGGAATTCTGCATCATGAAGCACACACTACCTGATGTAAACCCTTTGCGCCCAGCTTGCTTATTTCTGAAGTCTGCATGAGGTCCATGACAACCTTTCCAAATTCTTCATCTTCATTGAAGAGCAACCTGATCCCTCTTGACCCACTTCTTAAAGGAATATGGTGGAGATTAGGCTCACAATAGAGAGAATGACCAAAGTCCTTTCCATGACTCTGCAGAGCTCCCTGACATTGGTGCTTGTGTGGACAGTGAAGGTGGTTATCTAAAATTTGAAAGAAATCTTGATCAGTTGGGTCAATGGGCTGAGGAGTGGCAGATGGAGTTTAATTTGGATAAATGTGAGGTATTGCATTTTTGTAAAAAAACGAGGGCTAGCCTTGTATAATTAAAAGTAGGGCCCTGGGCAGTATTGTGGAACAGAGACCTGGGTGTGCTAGTACATAATTCTTTGAAATTTGGGTCACAGGCAGACAGAGTGGTTAAGGCGGCTTTTGGCACAGTTGCCTTCTTTGCTTAAATCATTTGAGTATAGGAGTTGGGACGTCATACTGAGGTTGTACAGGATGTTGGTGAGGCCTCTTCTGGAGTACTGTGCAGCTCTGGTTGCCCTGTTATAGGAAGGAAATTATTGAATTGGAAAGGGTCCAAAGAAGATTCACCAGGACATTGATTCACACTGTGTTTCAGGAGGCAGTTACACCTGGTAGAAGTAAGTAGTTCAAATTTGGTCAGTGGCCAGGGACAGCAGGGGTTGACCAATGTTGTAGCAAAAAGAGTAAATGGGCTGGTCAAGAGGACTTTAAACTAGAAAGTGAGGGGAGGGGAAGGAAAGGGTAAAACATCCCACCCCACCCCCAACACACCGAGACACCCACATGTTAACTTCTGAAGGGGTGGATGCACCTGCATGGAAACATATGAAAAAAACTGACCGGAAAGGAGAATGCAGGAGAGGTTATTAAAGTCTTCAGCACAGACACAAATAGGACAGAGTGTTTGGAAAGGGCTAGGAATCCAACTTCAAGCACACTGAATAAATGAGCGACAATAAGAAGAGGGATGGTTAATACAGGACTGAAGGTGTTATGTCTGAATGCACACAGTATGAGAAAGAAGGTAAATGAGCTTGTGGCGCAGAACGAAATTGGCAGATATGGTGCGGTGGGCGTCACGGAGACATGGCTGTAAGGGGATCAGGATTGGGAGCTGAATATCCAAGGATATACATCTTAACAAAAAGATAGGCAGGTGGACCAAGGGGGTGGGGTTGCCTGTTTCATACAAAATGAAATAAAATCAATGGTAAGAAATGAAGTAGGGTCAGATGATGTAGAATATGTGTGGGTAGAGTTGAGGAACCATAGAGGCAAAAAACCATAGTTGGAATTATGTACAGGCCTCCAAACAGTAGTCAGGAGCTGGGGCACAACATACACCACGAGATAGAAAAGGTGTGTAAGAAAGGCCAAGTTACGGTGACCTTGGGGGATTTCAATATGCGGGTGGACTGGGAAAATCAGGCTGGTAGTGGATTGCAAGAAAAGGAATTTGTGGAGTGTCTACGAGATGTCTTTTTGGAGCAGCTTGTGATGGAGCCCATTAGGGAACAGGCAATTCTGGATTTAGTGTTGTACAATGAGGCAGACTTGATAAGGGAGCTGAAGGGAAAGGAAGTGATCATAATATGATTGAATTTACTCTGCAATTTGAGAGGGAGAAGATAGAATCAGGGGAATGGTATTACAGCTGAATAAAGGCAATGACAGAGACTGAGGGAGGAGCTAGGCAGAATAGACTGGGAGAGGAGCCTAGCAGGAAAGATGGTGGAACAGCAGCGGCAGGAATTTCTAGGAGTAATTCAGGAGACACAGCAAAAATTTATCCTTGGGAAAAAGAAGCATGGTGCAGGGATGATGAGGCAACCATGGTTGATTAGGGAAGTCAGGGATAGCAGAAAAGCAGAAGGGAAAGGGTGAAGGGCAGTGGGAAACCAGAGCATTGGGAAGCTTACAAAGACCAACAGTGGGCAACAAAAAAGGAAATAAGGAGGGAGAAGATTAAATGAGGGTAAGCCAGCCAGTAATTTAAGGGAATTTTAAGAGTTTCTTTATATATCTAAAGGACAGAGAGAGGCAAAAGTGGACATTGGACCGCTGGTAAATGATGCTGGAGAGATAGTAGTGGGAAATAAGGAAATGGCTGAGGAGCTGAATAATTACTTTGCGTCAGTCTTCACAAGAAGGCACAAGTAATATCCCAAAAATGTGAGAGTCGGGGCAGATCTGAATATGGGGGCCATCACCCAGGAGAAGGTGCTAGAAAAACTGAATGGCCTGAAGGCGCATAAATCACCTGGACCAGATGGACTACACTCCAGAGTTCTTAAGGAGATAGCTGAAGAGATAGTGGTGGTGTTAGTGGTGATCTTTCAGGAATCACTAGAGTCAGGGAGGGCCCAGAGGACTGGAAAATTGCTACCGTGACACCCCTGTTTAAAAAGGAAGTAAGGCAAAAGACTGAAAATTACAGGCCGATTAGCCTAACCTCGGTCATGGGTAAGATTTTAGAGTCCGTTGTGAAGGATGAGATTTCTGAATTCTTGGAAGTGCGTGGTAAAATAGGGCAAAGTCAGCACGGCTAGACCAGGGAGAGGCAATGGATGTTATCTACCTGGACTTCAAGAAGGCCTTTGACAAGGTGCTGCACAGGAGGCAGCTCATTAAGATAAGGGCCCATGATGTTAGAGGCAACGTGCTGGCATGGATAGAAGATTAGCTTTCTGGCAGAAAGCAGAGAGTGGGGATAAAAGGGTATTTCTCATGATGGCAGCCGGTGACAAATGGTGTTCCACAAGGGTTAGTGTTGAGACCACAACTTTTCACTTTGTACATTTAATGATCTAGATGAAGGAACTGTGGGCATTCTGACTAAGTTTGCAGACGATACAAAGATAGATAGAGGGACAGGTAGTATTGAGGAGGTGGGGAGGCTGCAGAAGGACATGGACAGGTTCGGAGAGTGGGCAAAGAAGTGGCAGATGGAGTACAATGTGGGAAAGTGTGAGGTCATGCACTTTAGTAGGAAGAATAAAAACATGGACTATTTGCTAAATGGGGAGAAAATTCAGAAGTCTGAAGTGCAAAGAGACTTGGGAGTTCTAGTCCAGGATTTGCTCAAGGTAAACTTGAGTCAGTAGTTAGGAAGGCAAATGCAACTTTGGCATTTATATTGAGAGGATTTGAATATAAAAGCAGGGATGTACTTCTGAGGCTCTATAACGCTCTGGTCAGGCCACATTTGGAGTATTGTGAGCAGTTTTGGGCCCCATATCTCAGGAAAGATGTACTAGCCATGGAGCGGGCTCAGAGGAGGTTCGCAAGAATGGTCCCAGGAATGAAAAGCTTAACATGAGGAGCATTTGAGGAGTCTGGGTCAATACGCGATGGAGTTTAGACAGATGAGGGGGGATCTAATTGAAACTTTCATAATAATGAAAGGAGATGAGGAGAAACTTCAGCCAGAGAATGGTGAAACTATGGAATTCACTGCCACAAAAGGCTGTGGAGGCCAGGTCATTGAGTATATTTAAGACTGAGATAGGTTCTTGATTGTCAAAGGTTACTGAGAGAAAGTGGGAGAATGGGGTTGAGAAACTTATCAGCCATGATTAAATGGTGGAGCAGACTCGATGGGCTGAATAGCCTAATTTCTGCTCCAATGACTTATAGTCTTATGTTATCTGGAATGGAGGGTTTAAGTTATAAAAATAGGCTGGGACATTTTTCACTGGAGCATAGGAGGTTGAGGTGTGACCTGTCTAGAGGTTTATAAAATCATGAGGGGCATGGATAAGATGAATAACAAGGTCTTTTCCCTAAGGTGGGAAAGTTCCAAACTAGGGGGCATTGGTTTAAGGTAAGAGGAGAAAGATTTTAAAAAGGACCTGAGGCAGCTTTTTCACACATAGGGTAGTTCATGTGTGAAATGAACTGCCAGAGAGAGTGGTGGATGCAGGTTTAGTTACAGCATGTTCCTATCCAAATGTCTTTTACGTGAATAGGAAAGATTTGGAGGGATATGGGCCAAATGCAGGCGGGTGAGACTAGTTTAGTTTGAGAATGTGGTCGGTGTGGACTAGTTGGGCCAAAGGATCTGTTTCTGCGCTGCATGACTCTGACGTTTGAATGCGTTGCTGCAGAATGTTTTGTGCAATCGTCAATTTGTTCACAAACAACACAATGAAACCTTAACTGCGGGAACCTTAGCTAAATAACCAGTTCTTTAAAGTCCACATTGAGATATGCAGCATGGAAACAGACCCTTCAGTCCAACTTGTCCATACCAACCAGATTTCCTATGTAAATCTAGTCCCATTTGGCCCATATCCCTCTTAAACCCTTCATATTCATATGCCCATCCAGTTACCTTTTGAATGTTGTAA